CTAACTCAAAATGCAGATGGAGTCTCTTCAAGGTTCTGTAAAAAAGAAGGGAAAAAAAAAAAAGGCCCCTGTGGACGAAGACCAAACACTAGAAAACCTCAACCCCAAAGGTCATTTTTCTCCAAAGTTATGGGTACTTGAATACAGATGAGAAGGAGAACAGTCGGCAGGGCTGCTGCAGAGCAGCGAGAAAAAGACTGCCCAGGAGCCTGATGGATGGCCAGAGAGAACTCGGGGAGGAGGCGGGCAGCCACCAGGATGTCAGCTCTCCAGATGGGGTGTGCTGGGCCACCCCCTCCCTCCTGGCCATGCGAACAGCTGAGGTTACTGCCTCCTCCCCACGTGCTGTGGCCTGTACCTCATTTTCCTCACTTACATTTGCTTTGGTCTCTTCTGAACACGGAGGTGGTGAGAGAACTTGCCCCAAGGTTAAAGATGCACAATTAAAGATCCCACCAAAGCTTTCAGGCTGCTCTCTGGGCCTCAGGGTCACAACAGCCATCATTCGATGCACATCCACACCAAATGAGCAACACAAACTCCTGCTAGTGAGGACAAAAGAGCCAGGCTTCTCCTGTACCAGATAAAAATCTACTTCTCTATCAGGAAACAATCCCTAAAACAAGAAAGGAACCACATTTCTGAAACTTAGAGCCTTTAAAACATTGAAAACCATTTAAATTAACATTTAAGTGAAAACATGTTTTCAAATGAAAATAAGTCTCATATTCAACTGATACCTATCACACTAAATCTGAATCAAAACATTTATAACAAATAACATGAGTGGAAAAACCAGAACACGAAAGCCTATTACTGGCAAACGAACCACACCAGTTTCACCTAGCTGAACAAAGTACAAAAATAAACAGCAAAAATGATGACAAATGGAAAATACCAGATATTTTACCATGTTTATAACCAACATTATTACTCACCCAAGTACAACAGAGCTTACACCTGTTAGTTTTTCACGATGGCATTCCTTCAGGATAGTCCCAATAAGCTGACTCGGGGACTTCTAAAAACCAGAGACAGATGAGATAAATGAATCTCATGCCAAGCCTCCTATACGACTGGCCCAAAACCTGTTTCTGCCTCCTACACACCTAGAGGTTCATCGTATTCTCATAAGAATCTAAAGTGTCCTATGCAGAGGTCTCGAGGGTTGAAAGTTCCTGGTCAGGAGAAGAGCGGGGATGGTTCTCATTCTCAATCCCAGCCACAGCCCCAGAGGCGTGCGGACCTTACCGATAAAGAACCTCTATCATGTGGACAGCCATCAAGCCATTCTGAGACAGCACCAGAGAAGGCCGATCTACCTTAAACACCATATTCTAGGCTTTTTAATGTCTCTTCTGGAAGTTCATTCTTATACCAAACTGTTCCTGCTTCCATCTAAATTAATTTCTTTTTTGTAATTATTAAAATGAAAATCAAGTTATTATCATACTCCTTGGAACAACTACTCCCCACATGAATTTATTAGTCACTAAAACTATATTTGATTTCTTTTCTTTCTTAGTAGGCTCTGTTTCCGGTGACTCTAAAGAATTTTGTTCCTCTTATCCTGAGCTTTTCCAATTTCTCAAATTCCTTTGTTAACCAGAAGACCTAAACAGTACAGAGGTTCTAATGAGAACCTGGTCTATGACAACCTTAACAGTTCACTATTATATCTGGGAATGACAACTTCTCTAGTCCATCATCCAAGCTTTCTCTGAATCCTATCAGGATCGGGCTACTTGCATACCTTAAGATCCCCCAAAAAAGCTACCTATGCCTTTCCTGATGGTGGTCTGATGGGTAGTCCAACATAGATGTCTGGCTTAAACTCACCTTCCCACCTGTTGATCCCAGCATTGTAGAGGCTTAATGAAGTCAAGATGCATTACATTTATCACTTGCCCTAGATCCACTCAAATCCATCACTATGTCACAGTGAGAAGTTAGATTGATCTGACAGGATTTGCTCTTCTTCACAAACCCATGTAAGTTATTACTCAGTACCTCACACTCTTCTAGCTGTTTGCTGATTGATTATCTGACGATCAGGTCAAGTATCTTCTTTGGAATCACAGTAAACTAACGGGTCTATAATTTCCAACATCATTCGTATTCCCCTTTTAAAGATAAGCAAGACAGCAAATGCTTCTTCCTGCGTTCTCTAAAGTAACAGCTAATGCTTTGCTAATAATGAACCAGGGCAGCCAATTCCTTAAGTGCCCTTGGAATCACATCATCAGGGTTCATTGATTTTGGAGATAATCTTTAATCAGGCCCAGATCCTGGTAAAACAGTAAGAAGCCCTAACTCAGCCTGGGTCTAGAAGGCCTTGTTGCCTAAGCCTGGGAAGGAAGTTTGTGATACAAGTGATTTAAATTTATTTATGTCTTCTGCATTGTGATAAACAAATAAGTAAAAAAAGAACAAAAAATAAAAGGAACAACGCCCTTGAAAGAGAGATGAAAGGTGACATAGACAGACCAAATTAAGACATGAATCAGGCTTCACCTTCAGGAACATTGACAGGATCCTCTGTAGGACAAGGGAACAAAGCTACAAAATTATCTAAGCTTATCATCTAACTGAAAAGATAAGAAATACAGGTACATAAAGGCATTCCAGGAAGCAGAAAGTAGTAAATGTAATAATAGAGGTGCCAAGAGATTATGAGGGTTCAGAAGAGGGACAATGCAATACTGATATGTTTGATTTTAGACTTCTCTTCCCATACGTCTTACTCAGTGACTGAAACCTCCAACAGTAGATAGGGATCCCGGTTTCCTAACCTGGAAAAATCTACATAACCAAAATTCCCAACCTACCAGCTAGGCACACCTACCATACCAAAGAAATCCCAGTAGTTTGGGGAGGCAGAGAATAAGACTCTACAGCACAGGCAGGATCACAAGGCAAAGGAAGTGTTGCTTAGGTAGCCCCCAAGCTGCATTCCTTTTATCTTTTCTCTTTTTCTTTTTCTTCCTTTCTTTTTTTTTTTTTTTGAGAGGTTTTTGCTACAGGGTGTGTGCGTTCACCAGAAAGACAGAGAGAGACAAAGAGACAGAAAGCAAGAAATCACCCCCCCAGGGGGGATGGCCACGTCGTAATCCCTTCTCCTCTCGGGATCTTGGGCACGCACGCACACGGGCCCAGCATGAGCTTAAGCCACTGGGTCCGGGACTCGAACCGCTGCCAACTACATGGGAGTCCAGCGACATAGCCATTATGCTAACTGCTGGTCCCTATTCCCTTTTTATCTTAAGTGCCTTCCTTTCGGCACTTATCTAGTTCCTATCTTCTCAAGAAGCCCTGATTCCAACCTCCAAAAGGCAGACCACTGCTTGAAGGTAACATAAGAAAAAGAAGAGAAAGGAGAAAGTAAAACGATTGTGACATTTGCATTATATAAAATAATCTACCATTATAAAGTGGTGGCATAGTGACTGGATTCCCACCTGGCCAACTGTGCTTCAAGTCCCGAATCTGGTGGCTTGCTCTCTCTCTCTCTCTTCGGTGAAACGAAGAATAAATAAAATTAAAGGAATAATTCTTAAAAAAAGGTCAAACGAAGAAAAAAAAATAAAATTAAAGGAATAATTCTTAAAAAAATTAAAATAAAAATTTATATGTATATATATATGTATATGTGTGTGTGGTCAAACGAAGAAAAAAAAATAAAATTAAAGGAATAATTCTTAAAAAAATTAAAATAAAAATTTATATGTATATATATATGTATATGTGTGTGTGTGTGTATATAAACCTTCCCCTCTTCCTGGGAAAAAAAAAAAAACATGAGAAATGAACCTTACTTTTCTCTACCTCCCAAGTACCTAATGCTAGGTCCTTTCTTCCTCCTGCTTATTATGGAAAGCTACTCCCACAGCAACCTGTCTGCGCAACCCAGTGTGACACACCCTATACCCCAGCCCTGCAAGGAAGAATTTCAGCATACCTGAGGTGCCCACACTATAGTGAACTGCCAAGTTAGCCTCCAGTCATTCCCTTAAATATCATGCACTTCACCAACACCTAGCACAAGTGTCGCTCTGCTGCTAATCCAAGTCTCCTAAAAGCATTGCCTTGAAAGGTAAAAGGTCTCTGAACACAACTGGTGACTAACGGGAAAAAAGTAAGCAAAGAAATTTTCCTTTCTGACAGACCAAAAATGGTAGTTGTTCGAGTTATCTAATTCTACATAATGAATCATCCCAAAACATGTGGCTTAAAGTATCAATAAACATTTGTTATCTTTCACAGTTCCTGCCAGGAATTTTGGAGCTCAGCTGGCTGGTCTGGCTCTGGATTTCTGCTGAGGTTGAAGTCAGATGTCCACTGGGCTGCAGTCATCTGAAGGCTCAACTGGGGCTGGTGGATTCACTTCTCAGATAGCTCATGATTGGCTAAGAGACTCAGTTCCTGTAACACATACCACTTCACGAGACTGCTTGAATGTCCTTCATAGTATGGCAGCAGGTTTCTCCCAGACCAAGTGATCCAAAAGAACAGGGTGGACTGCAATGTTTTTTATAACTGAGCCTCAGTCATTTCTTCCAGTATATTCTACTGGTTATATAGGGCTATCTCTGATTCAGTGCAGGAGAGGAACTACCTAGGCTGTGAATACCAGGAGGTAAGGATCACTGGGGTCATCCTGGAGGCTGCCAGCCACAGTACTCCTTAATGGAACAAGCAGCAGTAACAGGAGAAGTGAGGAGGAAAGGAAAAGGAGAGGAAGGATGGGAAAGAAGGAAATAGTTTGATTCCAAAGGCTGAGAGCAGAGAGAAACAATGTGCCCAGTTTTTCCCAGAGACTTCTTAGGTCTACCTTACCCTAGCATACCTGAACCAAGTCCTGCTTCCTCGGCAGGAACTGCAAATGAACAGCTAAAGGCCAGAAGACATGAGAAACCTCCTCTGGATCCCAGAAAACAGGACTGTCCTCCCCTCCCTTTTTGCCCAACCCACCTTTTCTGAAGCAATGATGCAACAGTTACCTGAGGATGAATCTGTGGCTTGTCACACGTGGCCTCAAAGTCCAGCACTAAAAAGTAGTGATACCTCTGGGGAGGGAAGGACACCATTGCCGCCATGGATGCGCCAAAGCCGTGGGCCGCCAGCTTTCTGGTGGATATGGAGCAGAACTCCGGAACACCACAGGGAGAAAATAAGTGGGAACCCAGCACTTTTCTTGCTCTTGAAAGTAAATACGAAGAAAATCGAGCTGCTCCAGTCTGTAAAGGTGCTAGCATTGAACATCCAGAAGCATCTAAAACTTAGGGGAGGAAAGTTTAAAAAAAAAAAAAAAAAAGAACAGAGAGCCTGAGTTACTCCCCTCCCACTGTGGCCCTGTTCCATCTAGTCTTCAGGAATATCCACGAAACATGAGCCACTCCCCAGTGTTTCTGAGCCCCCTTTCTAAATCACTGTATGTGTTACTAGAGTTCAAGACCCTAATACCAGCACCTGCAGCATTATTACAGCTCTGAGTCCCAGATCGTTCTCAGAACAACATGCAACACTGGCCTTCATCTTTAAATGGAGCTCTAAAGTTCAAAAGAGAGAAGAGAGAGAAATTCTGTGGTCACTTCTCAGGTGGCTACAGTTAACAGTAAAGCCAAGCGTCCCAAAGTAACATGAGATGATCTAGTTGCACCATCAACACTGGGAGCTAAGCTGACTCCCAGAAACGGTGGAAAATGTCCAAGGCTCTCTCCTCAGTTCGATCAGGAGCCATTTGCCCCTAGTTTTCTGTCTTTATCATGACATCTCCATATATATTCTCCCTTCTCTCAATGTGAAAGTGAGCAAAGCCAACCACAGGGGAGTTTGCTCACAATTTTCTGGCAATTCCCAACCCCCACACTAGTAAGTGGCACCCTGGGGGAATGAACAAGCCTGGAGAGCACAGCTGGCAACAGCCTTAGGCCTTCTCATTTGCTGCCTTTAGACTCACTCTCTCCTAGAGGCCCTGAATGACTGCGGGACTTTTTAAATAGGGAAGAAAAAGAGAAAACCCAGATGTGGCAGTAATGAGAGCATTGCTAAAAGTCTAGTAAAGTTTTCTGAGTGAACATGTGCAAAAAAAAAAAAATTAAAATCACTTTTCCTTTAAAAGCTTTCCCTTTAAATTTGCAGAATGTCTGCTCCTCAGAGGGCTAACTAAATATAAAAATCAAAGCCTAAGTTTTACTCACAAATAACTCAAGCTTCCTACAAAAAAAAAAGGAAACAAAGCAGAAATTTTGAGTTTTTCCAAGCCACTCAAATTTCCCTTTACTTTAGTCCTAAACAAGAAATCTCACTCTTCAGTACAAAAATGGTCATCATATATGTCTTCTGATGGCCCATTCCAACAGAGCCTAAGGCCTGACTCTGCAAGTAAGCATGTGGCTCACCAGGATATAGAGGGATAGCACCCTATAAAGCCCAGAGCACCCTCAAAGGCAATGGGGTCCTCACTATCTGAATGGAAATGGACAATATCCACTATCACTTCTCAGCTCTCTCCTGACTCACCAGGTGAGCTACAATTCGCCTGCATATTTGTTATTGGGTTGTCAGAAAAGTCATGACATATTTTTCTATGTTCTTCTATGCAAAAATGCATCATGACTTTTCTGATGACTCAACAGTGTATGTTAGGTGGGTCCTCAATTTCCCTAAAACTACAGAGAGACTATGGGGATTCAGTAGAGCCAAGACTGAGCAGTATTTTAAGTTCTTCATAGATCCTGCACAAGCACAGCATTTATTCTCACCATTGCCTTATAGCCTCTTCAAAAATGCAGCCCAATCTCCAGGCCAGGTAGATAAAGGCTGGCTTGAATTTCCCTATGGAATCCCTTGGGAAGCCAAAAGGGTCAATATCCCTTTGAAAGCCAGACTCCAAAATAACTCTACATCACCCACTCCTGAACAGTCCTGGAAGCATTGCTGAGATGGGAGACCCCAATCTGCTCAGATTACTCATTCTAGTTTGAATCCAAAGTCTCTTGGGGCCTCAAAACTCTTAACCTGCAGGGTCAGGTCATGCATAAGGACTGTTGAAAGTCTTAATGTTCTCCAATGTATATATAGTATACATAGTCTCTGTAGTTAACCAGATCCTGTTTGCCAAACACCACTGGGAATTAAGCATCACAATTAAGGAGGGCTTCCAGGTTTGAATTCTGGCTTTATTGCTTATTAGCCATGGCACTTTGGACAAGCTGTTCTTCAATTCCTCACCTGCAAAATGATGATAATAATAGCAGCTACTCCTAAGTAAGAATGAAATGAGACATTCCATGTAAAGCACTAAAAGCAGTGTCTGGCATATGAGAACTCAATAAATTACTATTACTACTACTACTACTATCCTACTGGGCTCTGCCTACCTGACCAAACTTGGATCTCTAAATCCAATTAATGCACGAAGCAGCCTCAAAGAGTAACACCCCTGTCTCCTGCATCCTTTGAATATTCTGACCTCCCATAGAACATACTATATATACCCTATGCCCTCCCATGCACAACACATTGATGATCTCTTGCCTGCAGACCTTGCTTTTCCACCTGATTTTCACTCACATCAAAAAGCTTCTTACAGAGGTCTTTTTTTTCTTTTCTTTTTTTTCTTTTTTTTTTTTGAGAGGTTTTTCCTATAGGGCGCGTGCGCTCGCCAGACAGACAGAGAGAGACAGAGAGACAGAAAGCAAGAAATCACCCCCCGGGGGGGGAAGGCCATGCCGCAATCCCTTCTCCTCCATTCTCCTCTTGGGATCTTGGGCACGCACGCACACGCACCCGGCGTGAGTTTAAGCCACCGGGTCCGGGACACGAACCACGGTTGACTACGTGGGAGTCCAGCAACATAGCCATTACGCTAACTGCTGGTCCCTCTTACAGAAGTCTTGAGAGCAGACATTAGGAGGCCAGGCCTCCACATGTCAACAGTAATTGGATTCCATACTTTCCTTACTTGTAACAACCAAGTTCAGCTCAAGAAACAAAAGGTAGCTCGTCTTCCCTTCCTGGAAAATTCAATTCTAGAGTCATTAAGTACATCAGAGGAAGGCAGGTATCTATACTAGTTGGAGGTGGAGGAACCAATATGGTCTGGGGTAGTACCAGAGTCCAGGCAGGGTGCAGAGGTCACCCACACAGAGGTGAGAAGGTACCGAGCAGCATGTCAGATCCAAGTGCAAGTGTAGAGGGCATCCATAGTGGAGGGTAGTCTGATGTGGGAAGCCAAGGGTAAGAAGCACTCATGAGAGGTAACAGGCAGTGGCAGCAATGGGAGATTAGTTACACATAGAGGGATGGATCAAAAAAGTGCATATAAAGGGACCAACAGATGGCGTAATGGTTATGTCACTGGACTCCCACATAGGCAACTGTAGCTTGAGTCCTGGACCTGGTGGCTTAAAAATTAAGTCAGATACACGTGTGTGCATGCTAAAATCCTGGAAGGAGAGTAGAGGAGAAAGGATTGCAGAGTGGTCATTCCCCCAGGGGGTGATTTCTCACTTTCTGTGTCTCTGTCTCTCCGGTGAGCATATATGCCCTAAAGCAAAAAAAAAAAAAAAAAAAAAAAAAAGAAGAAGAAAGAAGTGCATATACTAAGGATAATGGGAACCAGGTTTCTCATCATAAGAGAAAGGAGTTAAAATATGGAAAGAGGAAATTTGTGGTGTTAGATTGGAATTGGAGGTAAGAGTGTAAACTCATGGTTTCTGATATACATAGATATCAATAAATCTAGATGGAAATGTGAGTATGAATATATATACACACAAATACCTACGCACATGCATATACATTTTCTAGCTCTAAGGGGCAGGTCAGTGAGCAATAACACTCAATAGTAATGAGCACATTTTCTTCCTGCTGCCTTCTAAAAATCATTCTCTACTAAAAGAACCTCAGCTTCTTGGAGAAATGGCTGATTCCAGGGGCTGTCACAGAGAAAGTACATGATGAGCCTGGCACATCTTGTACCAGAAAGCAAGGAAATGCTCAAAAATGATGGGAACATGTCAAAAGTACACAGAAGTCACCCCAAAGGGACTAACACTGACCAATAAATAATGATAGTAATGGCTTACAATACAACAAATAAAATAGGAAACTAGGAGCCTATAAATAAGTAAATAAATTAAATTAAATTTTGACGAGGGATATTTTCTTAGTATCTCCTCACAAAATGCTTATTAATTATAACAGGAAATAATTTTATAATGAAGCCTGGCATACGTTATCTTAATCAAATGATCAAAATGAATATCATCAATGATGGAATAAATCAAAATGAGATACCATCTGAGAGGATGCAATAAAAAGGAAAAAACATCATTTCTGTTATATTCCTTCTGCAGATGCAAAACCTGAATCTAATCATAAGAAAAAATACTAAATGATGGGACCAGTGGGTGGCATGGTGGTCAAGGTGCTGGACACTCCCACATGGCCAACCAGGGTTCGAGTCCTGGACCTGGTGGCTTGCTTTCTCACTTCCTCTCTCTCTCACTCTCACCCTCTGTCTCTCTCTGGTCGAATTAAAAACTCAATGAATGAATAAACAAATAATAAAATAAATAGTTATTTTAAAAAAAAAAAAAAAAGCTAAATGCAGGCCAACCACACAGCATGGTGGTTAAGGCAGCTGGATCCCACATGGCCGAATGCTCAGTTCAAGCTCTGGACCCAGTGGCTTGAAAATATACTGGGCACATGTGCAATATGTGCTCAAAATCCTGTGAGAAGAATGGAGAAAGGAATGCAGCATGGCCACCCCCCAGAGGATACTTTCTCACTTTCTATCTGTGTGTCTCCTGCAGCAGGCACATGTGCCCTAAAACAAAAATAAATAAATAAATAACAGAAAGACAATAATCAGGCTGTAACCTTCAGAAATATCAAGGTCATGAAAGTCAAGGGAAGTTTACTTAGGAAAGTCTAAAGGAGACTAAAGAGATTTGATAACTAAATGCAACTCAAGATTCTAAAATTAGCCATTTTACTACAAAGAACAGTCCTGGGACAATTGGCCAAAAACAAATGGAGTTAGAGTAATGATTAGATGGAGATAATGTGCTGATGTTAATTTCCTGATTTTGATGCTTGTATTATGGTATGGTAGGTATGTCCCTGCTTATAGGAATATACAAAGTATTTAAGGAGATGGAGCACTGACTTAGCAACTTAACTCTCAAATGGTTCATGAAAAAATAGTATTTGTACTATATTTCCAACTTTTACATAAATTTGGGCTGTTTCAAACTTTAAAAGAAT